TGTTGGTTAAACAATGATGTACTTCGTAGCAGCAAAAGAAAATTTTGTAGTTCAACCCACAAAATATACAGTCAATTCACTTTGCAGTGTATTCTGTGAAGTGCTTTGAGACGTCTCAAAGACGTGACGAGGCGCTATATCAAATGCAAAGATTATTATTTTATTAAAATAATTTTATTAAAATAATAACCCATAGCTGGAATAGTCTACAGTTTGGGGCACCCTCCTATTTTCACAAGGATGTAATAGCAATGGAAAAGGTGTGGTGCAGTGTAGACTGAGACATTACAAGGGTTACAAAACGCAAAATATGCAGATGCTGGAAATCTGAAACAAAAAACAGAAGTCAACCAGAACACTCATCAAGTCAGGCAGCATCTATGGAGAAAGGAAAGTGAGTCAACGTTTCGGGTCCATGAATTTGTCTGTTCTGACGAAGGGTCAACTCACTTTTCTTTCTCCATAGATGCTGCCTGACCTGCTGAGTGTTCCCAGTGACTTCTGTTTTCATTACAAGGGTTAATTGGCTTCAGTTAAGAAAAAAGATTTGATAAGTTAGGGCTTCTTCTACTAGAGCCAGGAAGATTAAGAGATGACCTGGTGGATGTCTTCAGAATTATGCCAGATTAAAATAGAATAAATTATAATAACAGATTATTTCTATGTTTTCAGAAGATTTCTACGTTTCTATTATTCCACTGGTCGGTGAGTCAGGAAGGAGAGGGAACAAACTTAAGGCAATCAGAAAAGGAATTAAAGGGAGGTTAGAAAAAAGTAACAGTGGTGAAGCTCCTGTAGTGTGATAATAATAATCCTTGCATATGATATAGCGCCTTATCACGTCTTCGAGACGTCTCAAAGTGCTTCACAGAATATATGGTAAAGTGAATTAACTGTATATTTTTACGGGCGAAACGTCCCACAAACAGTCTTGGATTGAGTGACCAAATTATTTTTATTTAATTCGAAGGAAGCATTTCTGCTAAGGAAACTTGCCCCAAATTTCACCTTGCCAAGAATCAAACTCATGCCCTCTCGCTTGCGAGGCGAGTGCTCTACCCACTCAGCTACAGGACTCCACTGTACTTCCAGTTACCAGAAGGTGTGCCCATTTCTGTGACTCAGATTTTCATTAAAAAATCCTTTTAGAAATACTGCAAATTAGACCCCTGCATTCTATATTTTCTCTCTTATGGTTTTGTCCATCAACCGTAATGTTTCACTGTTCCCAGCAATGGACCGAGCTACCGCCTCTTCTTCAAGTGGATGTTAAAGATTCCATGGTACTTGAAAAGAGAAGGGAGTTTCTCTCGGTGTTGTGTGGTCAACAATCCTCCAAAAATAAAATTAAACATGACTGTTTGTGGGACACTGCTGTGCACAAATTAGCTGCTGCGTTTCTCTTGCAAAATACAAGTCACTACACTTTACACCTCCTGTGAAGCATTTTGGGATAACCTCCTCATATGAAATATGCCATATCAAATGTAAAGATTATTATAATAATAGATTAACGCTTCAATAAGGAAGTAGACCTTATCGTGTAACTGACTGGATCCATAAAAACTTCCAAGCCTAATTAGAGTTAAAGGCCTGAAGGACATGACTTTACAGAGGATAAGTCACGTGAAACAATTACGCTATATGTTTTCTGGTTGTCTTGCATATTTTAGTAACTGGCGACAATAGAAAATAGAAAAAAAGTAGTCTAGACAGAAGTTGTTTAAAACAAATCCTGACAGGGTTTAGCTCTGTTCTCTATAAAAACACTTAGCATTGCCTTCTGACCACAGTGCTGCCTGTTTACTCTAATACACCAATGTGTTCACAAAATAGCAGGCTGGAGAACACACACATACAGGGGAGCGTAGTTCTACATGGAAACCATTCTCCACAGGCCTAACGTTTCTCACCAGACCAAGAATTGAGATGACGCAGAATTTTGGAAAGTTGTTCAATTCAGGCTTAATACCGAAGTCGTTTTTTCGCAGTTGTTAGAAACGCCATTGCAATTGAAAGGTTAGCGATGAGTGTTTATATTCCATGGCATGTGCAAAAAGATGTGTCTGTATTTCCCGGTGGTTTCGTTAATGTGTCTCTGATGGTACGTGTGCCCTTTAATAATGCAGTGGGTGAGCGTGCACCGAGTCTCTGGTGATCAATTGAAAGGATTGCTTTTGTGCTTCCTAACTCATCCCTACCACACACTAAATTAGTTCTAAATGGACTGTGAACTGAATGTACTAGTTAATTATGTTAACAGAGCTTCATCCTCTTGTTATTGTGCAGTTGTTTTTGCCACAGAAGTCTCCTTGGCTTGGTTCAGTCTGTGATCTCCCATTGATCAACACTAAAGTGAAATTTTCTGAACCATTTCTGAAGAGGCTACATGTGAGGAGACTGAAACTTGCCATTTCTCCCATTACATACTTGCCAAAAACCTGTAGTTTACCATAGATGTCCCCTACTTGTAACCCAGCAAGTCCGCTCTGAAACATTGCAAAGCACTTTAGAGTTTCTTAATAATAATTCTTAAATTTGATACAGCTCCTTATCACGTCTTCGAGACATGTGGAAAAGAGTCGTAGCTGAAAGCTATCTCCTACACACAAGGACAAAGCCCGATGAAACTCTGAAGTTCTTTGGTGAGTTTGAGGTCAGGTTGTATTAATAGTGGGGCTGCAAAGTGAAATTCCAACACAGTTTAAATGCATTCACCTTGAAATGCCAATACAATGCTAATTGCATTTAAATAGCGCCTTTCAGGTCGGGCAGATGTCCCAAGATGCTTAACAGTCCTGCATGGAACCCGAGCAGTTCTATATGTATGTGTGTAATAAACTATACTTTACAGAAACTTTGTGAGACGTTTAGACACATGCGACATTATAGGAACTATATCGAATGCATGATTATTGTTTTCTGGTTTTATCGAAGGGAATATCTATGGAAAAGTCTTGAACCATGAAGTCCATAGATGGTGTTTTGCTCAAGGTCAGCTTGTCATGCTGGTAAACAGACATGTGGAATGAAAGTTCCTCAGCTTAAATTTTCTTTGACTCCCATTCATTATGTACCCTGAATAAAACAAACTGCTTTCATTGCCTCTAATTGGCTCACAGTGGACAAATTACAGGGGGAATAACAACCAAAATAATACCAATGAGAGAGTCAGAAACTGAGAAAGTGCTGACTGCACTGAAGATTGCAGCGTTTTAAAACATGCTTCTTGTGTTAATCCACTTCAAGGTGCTGTGCGTGGGATCTTGCTGTGGGCAAATTGGCTGCTGCATTTGGCTACAAATAGTCACTAAGGTTTACAGCAATTCCGCACCCGTTGCCTTCATTCCTCCGGGTCTGGCCTCCTCGTCCCCCAAGTCCTCCGCTCCACCCTCGGTGGTCGTGCCTTCAGCCTCTGTGCCCTGAGGCTCTGGAACTGCCTTCCTCACTCCCTTCGTCTCGCCCCCTCCCTTCCCATTTTCAGGTCTCAGCTGAAGACCTTTCTTTTCGACCGTGCCTTTGGTCACCTTCCTCCCCCTCCCCCCGGCCCCTCCCCCTCGCCCTGGCTCGGCCCCGGGATCCGTTACTGTATAGCGCTCTGAGCCACCGTCCGGCGTGGAGGGCGCTATATAAATCCAAGTTGTTGTTGTTGTAAAGGATTATTACAGCACAACACCTGAGTCTGACAGAGAGGCTGTTGTCCAGGCAGATAGTCACTATTACAGCTTGCACATGACAATATGCAGCTGATACCCAGCAACTTCATTTTGTGCCATACACAGCCGTTTCAAGGGACTGCCTGATCTGGCCCTGGCCCTGTTAATGAAAGACTGGCATTCCTATTGCTGGAAGCTTTGATGATATCAAAAGTGTAGATCTGCTTTCATCTACATCCTCGAATCCTCATGTTTTACACCACAGATGGAGCCCATTTGGCTCGCTGTGGAAGTGCCAGCTCTCTGAAAAGCTAATTCATTTAGCCCCACTCCTCTGACGCTTTCCCCAAATCCTTTCATATTTCTCTTGTTCAAATACTACTCCAGTTCAGTTTTAAAAATCTGTTAGGAATTCTGTTCTAGCCAGCATTATTGGTGGGTCACTCCATGTCCTAATAGCACTCTGTGGAGATGAATGCAAACAAGCGCTCCGGGACGCTACCCCACTCGAAGGGCGCTATATAAATGCAAGTCACTGCTCCCTTCAGAAGCCATCACAGGGCTACTTACCCAAAACTCTGGAACACTCTTCCTCTATCTCTCTGCCTTGTCCACCTTCCTTCCCCATCTTCAGGTCACGCCTGAAGACCTTCCTCTTTGACCGTGTCTACGGTCACCTCCCCCCTCACCCCTGCTCGGTATCGTGCTCCACACTCTGATAGGCTACCCTTACGTGAGGGGAGCTGTATAAATGCAATTTGTAAAAAATGTAAATGCAAAAAATACTGAAGGCTGGTCTCGTGTCTCTGGCCTGACACAGGAGTCCCCTGTAAGGTTGGTGTGTCTCACACAGTTACTGGGTACAGAGGGGGCTTTTATTAATTACATTCAGGCTGATAATGATTTAATAATAATAATAATAATAATAATCCTTGCATTTGATATAGCGCTTTTCACGTCGGGAGGACGTCCCAAAGCGCTTCACAGAACACACTGTAAAGTGAATTGACTGTATATTTGTGGGCGAACGCGGCAGCCAATTGCGCACAGCAATGTCCCACAAACAGTCGTAAATTGAAAATGACCAATTTATTATTGTTTTTAGTTTTGGAGGGATTATTATTCTCTCTTTTCTCTCTATCTCACACACACACACTTTCTCTTTCTATCTCACACACTTTATCTCACACTCTCTATCTCACACACACACTTTCTCTCTATTTCACACACACACACACTTTCTCTCTCTCTATCACACACACACACACTTTCTCTCTCTAATCTCACACACATACTTTATCTCACACTCTCTCTCTATCTCACACACACACTTTCTCTCTCTCACACACACACACACTCTCTCTCTCTATCTCACACACACACACAGTCGGAGACACAGACTAATCGACCAGTTTCCTTTTCCGACAGCTACTGGTAATGCAACTCAGGATTGTGTGACTCAGGGATCAGAATCGAACTCAGGTTAGAACTTACACACACAAAACATTCGCAAACCATAATCCCGAATAATAGTCCTTGCGTTTGACACAGCGAATTATCACCTCTTCGAGACGTCTCAAAGTGCTTCACAGGATACACTGTACGGTGTAGTGACTGTGTTTATTGCGGGCTAAAGGGTTGATTTCAAGCTCGTCACAAAACCGGTCATCGCCAGGCTCCACTCTCTCTCTCTCTCTCTCTGCCTCTCTCTCTCCCTCTCTGCCTCTCTCTCTCTCCCTCCCCCTCTCTGTCTCTCTCCGTCTCAGTCTCTCTCTTGCTGTCTCTCAGTCTCTCTCTCTCAGTCTCTCTCTCTCTCTGTGTACAGGATCGATTTCAAACTCCTCACCTAACTTTATATTTTCCTCTCTGTGCGTCTCTTAGATTCGCTCCTCAACATGTTCGCTCTGAAAATTTTGGGGCTAAGAATGATTCTATTCAAGTTCATAGCGAGCGGCGGTTTGCTGACGGCAAGAATTTGGATTTCTAAAGGTATTGGGACAGCGCGGAAGCCCGTCACGTAAATAGCCGGGTGTCTGACACAAACTTCAAAGCAGCAGTGGGTGGGTAATACACAGCATAAAGCCAATGCGTAACCTAAAGCCAGTGGAGAATGTGAAGCCACTACTACACTTTGTTCCGTGGGGTTCAAACAGTGAGTCAACTTGAAAAGTAGCTGATGTCTACAAGTTCAAATGACGCGGGAATCCAGCACCATTCCAATCAATTAGGCCTTTGCTTTACTGAATCTTTGAAGGGTTGGTTAAGTGGCCAAGTGCAAATGAAAGGTCCTCTGCGGACAGGGAGCAGCTGCTGGAGTTCCTATCTGAGGCCCGCTCCCTGTTAGGATGTCTCTCTGGGTGTCCAGCCAGTGCACCAGTTCCCTTTGTGTTAAATACTTTCTGGCAACATGCTGACACAAGTTGTGCCTTCAGAACTGTACAAGTACAGCGTGGGACCCTTACTGTCAGATGGATTCAAGCTGTTCAGAAACGCTTTTGTCAGGAATTCTCTTTCCCCACACCCCCCTCTCTCTTCTCCTCTCTCTCTCTCTCTCTCTCTCTCCTCCACACCCCCTCCCCCATTTTACTTATGAAATGCTATATCCCTATATACGCATGAGTCAGGGATGTGATTGGGAAGGACCGGGAGGGATAAAATGAAATCATTAAGCTGTTCTCCATCTCAGACACAGTCATGAAACTCAATATCGTGACTTTCAAAGTGTCACCTTTTCGCAAAGTATCAATTCACGGGATTTTGCCTGGTGGCAGCTGCTTTTCTATTAGCCCTTTGGGGCCAACAGTGGATTTGGGAGTTACTCAATCTTCCAAGGTTAGCACGTAGAATGTTGTTAAAGTCTTTTACGCACTTTGAATTTCTTACAAATGCATTTTTCAAAACCCAGTGTGCCGTATGTTTCAGGGCCCAATTTGGCAGCAAACTCTCAGCCTGATTGATTTCAACCCACCCGACACCCACTGATCAGGTCAAGACATGGTCACTGTATATCCGTACAGTTAGGTGTAGGGCTTGAGGATCTCCTCTGATCTTACTCTGTGTACTTTAGCTGCATTCAGAGAGATGCTTGATAACCTCAACCACCCAGATTTCATTAATTCCATGTGAATAAATCTTAGCCCATACAAAGCGAAGTCCTGTTAGCACTTCTCTGTGGCAGACCTGCAAATGATTCAGAACCCGGCTATTCCGATTTCAACCAGAGACAGAAAACTGCACGTTAAACAGAACAGGAATGGCAATGTAAAGGATCTGTAATCAAAACCATTTCTTAACGCAAAAGAAAAGTAAAAGATGCACTTCTTCTCTCAGTCTCTATGTCGATATTTCACCTTTCTCCAGGCACATATATAACAGGATATAAAACGTGCAGACCCAAATGTCGACACAGTCCGCAATCCCCCAGTAAAGTTGGTCAGTTGCTTCATGGCTGTCGCAGTGCATAAAATTGGCTGCTGCGTTTACCCACAAAACAGATACTCCATTTTACAACAACAACTTGCATTTATACGTGCAGTCCTGTAGCTCAGTGGTTAGAGCACTCGCTTTGCAAGTGAGAGACCTGAGTTCAATTCCAGGCAGAGGGCGAAACCTTGGGCAAGTTTCCTTACTCCACACAGAGCCTAATAATAATCCCTCCAAAACCCAAAACAATAATAAATTGGTCATTTTCAATCCACGACTGTTTGTGGGACATTGCTGTGCGCAATTGGCTGCCGCGTTCACCCACAAATATACAGTCAATTCACTTTACAGTGTGTTCTGTGAAGCGCTTTGGGACGTCCTCCCGACGTGAAAAGCGCTATATCAAATGCGAGGATTATTATTTTATAAGCAGCCTTCATGCAGGGCACAGTGATACCAAGCTGGGGAAAGGAAGGAGGTGACCATAAGCACGGACGAAGGTCTTCAGTCATGATCTAAAAGAGGGGAAGGAGTGGGCACGATGGATGGATTGGGGTAGAGAGTGCCAAGCTTCGAGGCATAGTGGCTGAAAGCACGGCTGCCAATGGTGGAGTGGTGGGGATGAGGGACAAGCAGGATGCCAGAACCAGCTGAGGGGAGGCAGCCAGTAGCGGAATGGGGAGAAGGCAGGTCAGAAAGATAGGGAGGTGCCAGGGCCTCAAGGGATTTGTAGACGATTAGGAGGATCTCAAAATTGGTCTGTTTTATGGTAGGGAGGCAGTGGAGCCTGACGAGGACTGGTGTGATGGGGGTATGGAGTTTAGTGTAGGCAAGAATAAAGTGTAGCTGACTACAGTAAATTCAGTGAAGCATTTTAAGATGTTCTCCAGACATAAATGGCGCAATATACCAAGTCTAGGAATTATTATATTTTTCTGATTATTTCAGTTTTGTATCTTACCAACAAAAAAGTTGATTTGGAACTTAACTGTTGATGAAAATGTACAAGATTGAATGTTTGGCCCGATTATAAGGTGTACACAATACCGATAATTTGCATTTATATAGTACTTTTCAGGTAGAATAATGTCTCAATGAGCTTTACAATGAAACGCAATCCAGAGGATGGCATGTACCAACCATACAAAGTTCAAGGTGTAACAAATGGACGCATTCCTTCTGCATGAGGCCCATCGAGTGAAGGGGATTTGACCAACAATCCTTTATCTCAGTCATTTATTCTCAGGTCTGGGTTTCTGTCAGCTTTCGAAGATACCACTAATTAGAGTTGTTTGTATCCCTCCTGTCAAAATCTCGCTTTCTCTGTCCAGTGTTTTTCAGAGCAATCTCTTGCTTATCAACACAAAGTTGTCAGAGCCTTGGAATGGATCATTTTTCAACTTTTTCCATCTGCTGTGAATGTGCCGCATTTCTCTGTCTGGCTCAGCGTACGTTGGCTTCGGGGTAAACCTCCCTCTGAAGCTCTATTAACCCGCTCAGGGCACCCCCAGCCCCAAACTCCCACCCACATTTCTACCTCATCTGCAATCTAAGTGCCAATTATTGCTGATTTAGTGGAAGTTTAGGACTGTTGACACACACCCACTAAGAGTGGGATGGAACCTGCCACAGCTCATTTCATTCGGGACATCAGAAAGATGAGGCCTGTAGCCCATCAGCGCGGGAGGATTTAAAGCTCTAACCAGGAGATGAAAGAATCCAGCCATACTAATTTCCCAGTCCTATTGGTTTAAGCAGAGCCCCTAATGGTAACAAGCATCTTGAGTTCATTATCTATGCAAATTGGGAGAGTTGATTCTCAGGAAAATGGGTTTACTTAATGGAATTTAATTTCTTGGTAAATTAATACACTCCCCTGCCTGGATTTGGCTTGGAAATTATGAGCATTCAAGTCTGCATAAAATTCATGTCATATGCGTAGGTTTTACAGACGATTTACATTTTGTGCAGGGATTTTGCAATTTTTGGTATATTTGATTTTGTACACACGTTAAACATTCACTGAACACTAAGATTGACCTAATGATACTAATACTTGCACTTCATATCGCACCTTATGATGGTGACAACATGTCTGAAGGTGCTTTAAAAGGATTTATTGAGTTTTGTAGGTGAATGCAACAGACATTTTGTACACAGCAATGTCCCACAAACATGAAGTGAGCGATTAATTGTATCTGGGTGGTTGCTGGCCAGGACACCGGGAGAAACTCCTTTCTCTTTTCAAATATGTAGTGTCATGGGATTTTTATCATTCACCTGAATAGGCAGCTGAATCTTCGGTTAACGTCTCTTTCGAAGGACAGCACTTCTTCAGTGAGTGAGTAGTAAACGTACGGAACAGGCTTCCGAGGGAGACAGTGGGAGCAGAAAGTGTTGATTCTTTCAAAAGCAAATTAGAAAGATTTCTTTCAGGAAATAATATCTTGGGATATAATATATAGTTTGGGACATGACACGTCAAGCGACTGCCAGAAGGGTGGAAGGCGAACAGGATGGACCTTGGTCTTCTTTCACCTAGCAAATACTTACTTTCTTTTGTTCTTATGTTCTGAAATTGCAGCACAGGCCCAGCACTGCATTGTGGTGTAAACTTCGACTGTGAGCTCCTAGTCTTGACGTTGGGCTTGAGCTCACAATCTTCTAACTCCGAGGCAAGATTGCTACCAACTGAGCCAGGCTACATCTACAAAGTCGCTCAATTGTTCGCTTTCCAGTAGCTTTCCAGCTCTTGTGTATTTCCAGCCTTTGTAGCTTTGTGTCCAGCGCCTTGGATCGTCCTCCCGACATGAAAGGCACTATACATATAAATATAAATTTGTTGCTGTTGTTTTGTTGTGTTTTAAGGGATTAAAATTCTGAAGCAATTTTAAGTCTCCAAACCTCAACCAAGGTTAAGATAAAGGATAACATCTTTTCAGCAAACGTGTCAACACCAAATCCATTGGACAAAACGTCCTGAGAATGATAACTATGTGCTGGGAGGCTTGTTCATTGTGTGTTAAAATGTTACCAGATACCTGAGCAGAAGGGGATCCTTCTGAGCTTGGATGGGGTGGGGAGTGGGAATGAGGAACGTTACTTGGTGAAGATTTTAGGTTTTTGAGTAACTCCAATTACTGAAATGATAAACTTTCTCTTTTGTTAATCTTCTATTTGGACTCCAGGGCTCCTTGATGACTTGATGTACTGCGTCTTATACATCAAGAGTAAATAAAACACAGCATTGTGCAGTCTGCACATGATTATGAGCTCGGTGGGGAACTAGCTAAACACTTTTAGTGTATTATGGAGGCTTTGCATACAAAGAATTTGTGATCTGCATCTGGTTTCCCTTCCAAAGGCCAAACCCCTCCAGTCACCACTTTAAACAGCAAGCGGCATCCATAGGCAAACATTACTAAGGTTGCAGTGCTGCAGATGATCACAGCAAGTATGCAAACGTCAGTGTGTCTTAATGGTGTGGTCTGCCTGCTTGCAGCCACCAGAACAAAGGCATCACTCAGACACCATGCCACATTCTCCAAAGCTAATACGTGGAGCATT